GTATTTTTGCCATTAAATATTTTACCTGAACATAGTCAAATCAAGCCTTTAGACCTAACTCCAAGTATAAAAGACAGGGGACAAAAAAAAAAAAAAGAAAAACAAAAAACAAATTAATCCAACCATGAAAAAGCAATTAGATAAATTCAAAAGGTGGAATCTTCTACAGAAATAGTCTCTTCAATAAGTCGATCCATGCAGGGGTAGGAAACCTTTTTTCTGCCAAGGGCAATTTGTGTATTTATAACATCATTTGCAGGCCACACAACATTGTCAACTTAAAAATTAGCCTGCTAGCCCTGGCCGGTTTGGCTCAGCGGTTAGAGCGTCGGCCTGCGGTCCTGAGAGGCCCGGGTTCGGTTCCCGCTAAGGGTGCGTACCTCGGTTGCAGTTTGTCCCCGGCCCTGGTCGGTCGTGCGGGTGGCAGTCACTCGATGTGTCCCTTTCACATTGATGTTTCTCTCTCTCTCTCTGTTCCTCTCTCTCCCTCCCGCTCTACCTGAACAAAAAATGGAAAAGTGTCCTCGGGTGAGGATAAAAAAAAAAAAATTAGCCTGCTATATTTGGTCAGGCAAATTTGGTGAGGCATGTGATGTTACCTGGTATTGATTTCGCAGACCTTATATGGCCCACAGGCCAGACGTTCCCCATCCCTGCAATGGGAGATATTCTAATCTAAAAGAATCCTAACCATTAAATACAATGTGTGGTCTTTAACCAGATCATCATTTGACCAAATAAGCTGTAAAATGCATTTGTGTGGAGGACAATTTGGGAAATATAAATATGGTCTGGGTTTATTATATGACAGCAATCTATTTAGGTATGAAATTGGTATCATGGTTAAATAAAAAAAATGCCCTTACTTTTAAAAAGTACAAACTAACATATTTAGGAATAAGCATTCATGATATCTGTAACATAAATTAGTATTTCCAAAAAAGTATACCAACATATTAAAAAACTTACGTCTAGATAATGAAGTTATGGGTATCTAGTATATTACATACTTTTTCCTACATGTTTGAAATGTTCATAAGAAAGTGAAAAAGTAAAAAGAAACAAAATGAAAAAAACTAAGTCAGATCACATCATTCTCCTAACTCAGATTCCTCCACTGGCTTCACCCAGCATCAAAGTCAAAAATTTTGTACTAGCTCTCTGTGATCTGATATAGTCCCTCATCTCTGACCTCATCTCCTACCACTCTCCCACTCAATCACTCTGATCCAGCCACACTGGTCTCCCTGCTGTTCTTCAACACATCAGCATGCTTACACATTGAGACCTTTCTTTGCTTTGGCTATTCTCTTTGTCTGAATATTCTTCTCCAGGTATCTGTACAATTTACACCCTCACATCCCTCATTTCTGTGCTTAAACCTCATCTTCTCAATAAGGTCTACTCTCCCTATTCTATTTAAAATTGCAACCTGCAACTACAGCACTCCCAATCTTCCTTATCCTGCTCTATATTGTTTTTGACCCATCTCACTGTTCAACTTCTAACATATCATATAATTTACTTAGAATGTTGGCATCATAAAGGCAAGAATTTCCATTTGTTTACAGATGTAGCCCCAGCAACTAGAACATTACCTAGCACATAAAAAGGTGTCCAATCAATATTTCTTAAATGAATGTATTTGGATTATAATAGCACCTAACCATGGTACCACTATTACTACTACTGTATTTTTAATTCACAAATCAAGGAGCTATGATATGGGCAAGTCTTCATCTCCCTCCTCTTTCCTGTGGCAAGACAACTCCAGTCAAGTTTGTCTTTTGGTACCCTCACACTTTCTATTACTCCATTCTGCCTGTCCTTTGTACTGTCCCTCATACTCCTTTCACAGTAACCCCTGTTAGGGAAATCAAGCAGATATACCTGTCCAATTTTCCAAAATGATGATATGCTCTAAAACTGCTTATATCTCTTACCACATTTCCAAGTCAAAGCATCCAATATAGCTGATCACAGGTTGAATCTAGAATAAAATCATTCTCACTGACTTCACAGCAGAAATAATTAGCTCTGCCTACAAATCTTAGCATTGTGGGTGTGGGGGGAGATTTTGCACAGCCTGTTAACCCAAATAAGTCCCAACTGGTAAAAATATGGGTTGCAGGCAGGAGTGAATGTTATCAGGTAGTGATGGAAAGAAGGGAGGGTGGAGTAGGACAAGGTGACCATACATGCCCAGGAGCCCATTCCCAGAGTTACATTCTCTAAGTGGTTCTTAATTTCCATGGCTTTCCTTACTTTACCTCCCAGACCACAAATTACCTAAAAACCTTGACGTTTCTTTCCCTGCCCTTAGTGGTCCTTAAGACTATAGATTCTCACAACAAGATAGTTCAGGCAATAGAAACAAGGTAATGGTTTCATACAGAGCAATATGAGGGTTACTCTTTCTAATAACAGGTTACTTCTAAATCAAATGTTTCTTTGTTGGGTAGTTCTTATATAATAAAAAGGCCCATTATCTATTTTAAAAAGGATTATTCCACCCTGGTCGGTTTGGCTTAGCGGTTAGAGCGGTCAACCCACAGATCAGAGTCACGGGATCAATTCTGGTCAAGGACACGTACCTTGGCTGCGATTTGATCCCCAGCCCTGGTTGAGGTCAAGCGGGAGGCAACCAATCGATGTGTCTGTCTCACATCAATGTTTCTCTCTTTCTCCCTCCCTCCCTCCCAACTCTATCTGAAAATCAATGGAAAAATATCCATGAGTGAGAATTAAAAATAAATAAAAAAAATAAGGGATTATTTCAACACTGTCAACCCCCAGGATATTTTAATTCAGCTCAAGTATTACTATTATGAGAAATATTTTCATATAAAAATTTAATTCTAAAACTCACATTCAAGTAACAATACTTGATGTTATGCCATAGGTTATCATTATTCACTGCACTATGCTCTGAAACCTACAGTCTCCAACACCCTAACCTATATTCTAATTAATCATGCCCAAGTTAAATTTCAGTTACCCTGTCACTTTAACAGTTGGTTTCATGTTCTCAAAGTCAAAGCTATCATGGTACTTCTTATTTTATTTTTTCCTTTATTGATTTGAGAGAGGAAGTGAAAGGGAGAGAGAGAGAGAGAAACATCAATGAGAGAACATTGATTGGCCACCTCCTGCATGCTCCCCACTGGGGATAGGGCCCACAACCTAGACATGTGTCCTGACCAGGAAATGAACTGGCGATCTCTTGGTACATGGGTCGATGCTCAATCACTGAACCACACTGGTTGAACTATCGTGGTACCTCTTAAAATGTGATGAAATACTTGAACTTCTCCTCCCCTGTACTAAGAGTAGACTCCCTGGCTTTTGTTAGGAACAGGAACAGCTACCATCACTCATTTTTTAACAAAGGTGAAGTACTCTTGCCCTAAAACCCTGCCATGTGTCTTGTTTGATATCAGAAAGCTATATGCTTTAAGTTCTGATATGATTTCTATTCTGGAGCATCCCAGATTATGAAAAATAAAAGATGCTTAAGCAAAGGCAATAGGTAGTATATTATTTGAGAATCCTAAAAGAAATCGTCTTACTATTCTGAACTTGAGCTCCAGAGGACAGGGACAGACATGCTCCACCAGAGAATCCTCAGTGCCTAGCAAAGCAACAGCATATCATAAACACTCAATAAATGAGGATTTCTTGGCTAGCTGAGTAACCCCAAGCAAGCAGATAAATTAAGAAAGCTATACCAAAAGGATAATGGAGGTCTTATTACATTAAAATCCTTCATGCTATCAAGAAATAGAACACTCATTTACAATTAGTGAGCATTTAATATAGACTAAGCAGTAAATTAATCCAAAGAAATTAGTAAAACATAAACCCTGCCCTAAATGACTCACAATCTGGCAAATGAGACATACATAGTTTATTCTAATATAACCTGATAAGTGCTAGAAGTCCTATGTCAAGTTTTATGAAAATAAAGATCAAGAAGTGACTAATTCTGCATGAGTGAAGTATCAACTAAGCCTTTATAGAGCAAGCAGCACTTGATCTTAAAGAATAAATAGGAGTTCACAAGATTTAAGAAAAGACAGGTAAGACGGTTGTGTAAGAGTAGTTTTCTTGTTATAAGGAACTGCATGTAAACAAAGGTCTGTCTATACATAGCAATGTCTATACCTAAGTTCCAAAAATGACTAGTACTTTAATATGGCTAGAATATCAGATTTTGGGGGAAAATCACTAAAGATGAGGCTGGAAAGAAAGAATGGGGCTAGATTGTAAACAGCCTTTTCTGCCATGTTTAAAAGTTTGAACATGGTTCACCCTGCAGGCAAATGTTTCTGAGCAGTGTGTTAATTACATTTCTTCTAGACTGTAACAGCAGTAATAACGTGAAAGATGGATTGAAAGAGAAATAATCAGAGGCACAGATTTACTAGATAACTATTGTAGTGGTTTAAGTGAAAGTCATCCAATGGTCACTGTCTGTACAATAAAATTCTAACAACACAGTATTCAAGGTCCTTGACAATCAAAAGTGTACCTTCCTTTTCACCTTCACTTCCTGTCTCTTCCCCACATCTTACAATCTAGCCACATCTGACTATATACTATTTCTTCAATCTGTTATGTACAATCATAATGTCACATCTTCACTATCGCACTATTTGTTACTTCTGCACAGACAACTGTCAACAAACTCCTACTCACTTTCAAGAACCAGGTTTTAAAAAGTGTATATCTATAAATTCTCCCCTGACTTCATCTCTCCCAAGGCAAAACATTTATTATGCTTTCCTCTAGGCTTTCATACCACATAATTAATATTATTAATACAGTACTTATTACAGCTCATTGTTAGCTATCCATTTATCTATTTCCTGTTAGAATGGCTGAGCTGAAACTAATCATTTACAAATAAAATTCAAATTAAACTGTACATATAAAATCATGATATTTAACCTCTAGACAGAGATAGAGATACAGATACACACACACATTTTTTTTTTTACCTGGTAAAACTTGAATTTGAACCCAAGAATATGACACAGTGTTTGCGGTTCACACATACTCATGTAAGATTCTAATAAAGATATAAAGAAGTCATCATGTTCTGGCCTGCATTCAAAAACTTCTAAAATGACATCCAAAACTCTATTGGGATCCAGATTAAAGCATCCTGCAACAGATGAGATATACAAAATTCAAAAGTGATTATACATCATTTCTAGTAAAGCCATTAAATTTCAGGGACAACTTATGTAACAAGATAAAAATGTTTTAAAAAACAACTTTTACAAGTTTGCTTCCCCTGCCCCAGGGGGAAATCCTTATAAGTCTATTCCCCACATTTTACACATAAGAAATGTTACTTGCCCAGGATTACAAAGTGGGTTAATGACAAGGCTGGGCTGGAGCCCAGGACCTATGACACTAACTCAAGTAAACTTTCTTCTATGCCACACTGTCTCATTAGGTCTTGATTAATCAGGCTAATGAGAGGGATCCACATTTTTAACTCTTAGCAAAATATGAAAATCAAACAATGCATTTTATAAGTTAAGCAACTAAAGAGTTTTTTTAAATGTTTTATGCAGAAGTTATTTGGAACGTTGATAAAGAGTTCATGAAAGGAGACCATCATTTTTAGAATCACTTTGTAGTTTATCTTATATACACAACAAAGCTACAAAATATAACTGTACAACTGACTTATGTTTATGGGTTTTGGTAGCATTCTAAAGGGAAAATAGGTATACTTCTGATACTAAAGAGATGAGAGAACACCAAGGAGTTGGGGACATAAAAGGGAATGTAGATAACACAAGCAAAGAGAGAAGAAGATCTAGGCAGAGCAGAAAAAAGAAGGGAAGAAGCACTGAATAGGTGCTAATGATGGCTACTTATCCTTACTAATCTCCTATGGTAAGCTAAAAAGGGTCCATGGACATTGACTTAACAAATGTTCCTATCAGCCACCCTACTCTTAATATGTATATAACTTCTATCTATTCAGCTTCAGCTGTTACCATAATTATATTATAATGTAGTCATATCATATGTGCATTTAATTTATAAGAATGCAACTATTTACACACAGCAAAAAGAAAAATAATTTAAGTGATATAAGGAATTCCACCCACCATTCCTCTCAATAAAATGTATGCGTATGACCCAGAGTGAGATATTAATCTGCTGTTCCCTCAATTTATATCAATTCACACATGCGTTATACATCAAGCTGAATGAAATATTAGTATTTTAAATTACATATTTTTCATTAGATGTAGTCCCTAAATGCAAGCTAACCACTTCATTGGGGCAAACAAATAAACACTAATTTCTTCCAATGATGGAGGAAAAAAGAACAAGTGTGTTGAAATTAGGGAGAGATGTCAGGTCTAAACACTGCACCTTATGGATGACTTAGATTTTTCAAAGAAAATTCTTATATAATCTATTTTATAAGAGATTTCCAGAAATACTTCTATTAACTCTACACTTAATTATATTAAATGCTATAAAACTAATGTCTAATTCACAGTACAGTAAGTCCTCATATAATATTGTCAATATTTTACAACTTAAACCAAAATGCCATATAACAAACCCAATTTTACCACAGGTTAATTGATGTAAATAAGCATTAAGTTCCTGCAGCATCTCATCAGCATTATAACCAAATGATGTTAAGGAAAACCATGTTATTCGAGGACCTGTTGTATCTTAGCATTCACCTAGAAAACCAAATTCTACAAATACAAAAAGTATTTCTTTCCTCTTTTTATATATAGAATATTTATTTTTTATTAAGAGTTTGATTTGTTGTTCCACTTATTTATGCGTTCATTAGTTGATTCTTAAATATGTTTTCATTGATTTTTTTTTTAGAGAAAAGAAGGGAGAGAGAGAGAAACATCAACATAAGGAAGAAACATTGATCAGCTGCCTCCTGCGTATCCACCACTGGGGAATAGAGCTCACAACCCAGGCATGTGCCCTGTCCGGGAATCGAACCAGTATCTCTCAGTGCACGGGACAACACTCAATCCACTAGAGCCACAGCGGCCATTGATTGATTCTTGTATGTGCCCAGACCAGGGATTGAACCTGCAAAGTTGGTGCATCAGGATGGCACAAGAACCAACTGAGCTACCCAGCCAGGGCTCTTGCCTCTTTTTTTTTTCTTTCCTGTTTATTTTTATTTATTATTGTTTAATTTATTTTTGTTACAGATGTTTCCCCTTTTCCCCCCATTGACACTCTCCTTCCAACCCCAGCTCCCCACCCCCCAGATCACATTTTCTTCCATTTCTAATACTAAGCAAAAAAGGACTAACAAGTGATCATGTCTTACTGGAAAGAGCTCCAGATTTTCATAAATTCTCCAAAGTGATGTTTACCTAAAGTTTTGGGAAGAAAACTTCTAAATATTTTTGCCTCTCCTGTACCCTCCAAAAGTATGCCATATGAATGTAAAAACGACTCCAAAATATCAACTGGAAATTTAAATGCTGCTGGTGGAAATATAAAATGTAAAATGGCACAACTACTTTGTAAAACTGGCAGTTTCCTTAAAAGTTAAACTTACACCTGCCATAGGACCCAGCCATTTCATTCCTAGGTATTTACTTGAGAGAAATAAATTTCTTTGTCCACACAAAGACTTGTACACAAATATTCATAGAAGATTTATAATAGGACACTATTAAATGCCCATCAACATGTAAATGGACAAATTGTAATACAATATAACTGTACTATATGTAATAGACACGAACTATCAATACACGCAACAGTACGGATAATCACAAAATAACTGTGAAGTAAAGCACACAAGGAAAGAACTCACTATATGATTCCATTTATAAAAGAATTCTAGAAAATGCAAACTAATCTCTAGTGACAGAAAGCAGATCAGTGAGTGCCTGGAAAGCGGGACAGGGGGAGCTTAGGGGAAATAAAATACAAAGGGGCAAGAAGAAATTGGGGAGGGGAGTGATATAAATGTGCATTATTTAGACTGTGGTGATGTTTTCACATATGTGTATACATATGTTAAAACTCTAATTGTATACTTTAAATATGTAGTTCATTGTATGTGCATTATGCCTAAATAAAGCTGAAAAATGCCTCCACACTGCTGTATCATAAAAAATAGATTATGAGCCCTGGCCAGTTTGGCTCAGCAGTTAGAGCGTCGGCCTGTGGTCCGGAGAGACCCAGGTTCGATTCCCGCTAAGGGCACATAATTCGGTTGCAGTTTGTCCCCGGCTCTGGTTGGTCGTGCGGGTGGCAGCTACTCGATGTGTCCCTTCACGTCGATGTTTCTCTCTCTCTCTCCCTTCCTCTCTCTCCCTCCCACTCTATCTGTACAAAAAATGGAAAAATGTCCTCGGGTGAGGATAAAAAAAAAAAATAGATTATGAAAGTATGGTCTCGTAAGTCCCCCAACCTTGTAACTGCTCCCACATTTATTGAATATAAAAATTCAATCACTAAAATGAATGTTCTCTCAGAGAGGAAAAAGATACATTAATATAATTTTGGGGAAAAAAATGGCTGACTTATAATTACCCGTTAAGTTACAGATACAAAGCTTGTGAATAAGGTATAAGAACAACATGTTACATGAAAATGTGTTTCATACACATTTCTTAAAAATTTTCGCCTTGGCCAGTTTGGCTCAGCGGTTGGAGCGTCGGCCTGTGGACCAGAGAGACCTGGGTTTGGTTCCTGCTAGAGGCACATACCAAAAAAAAATAATAAAAATAAATTTAAAAAATTCTATTTTCAATGTGCTACAATGCAAACCACTGACATTATGTTTTATTTAATGGTACTCTAGCAAGGCTATTCTATCAATGATATGTACTATCAACTAACAATTTCTTTCTAGGTGCTATTTAAAGAAGTAATTTTGAAAAGGTATGTACTTCTAGTTATGATAGATATCAACCTCTGCATCTTCCACAAATGAAAAACTGGCTTATGAATTTTCTATTCAATGTCTCAGGTGCCAATAGTTACTCCAATCAATTAGAATGACCTTTGCTACATAAGATGGAAAAAATTATCCAACTAAGAATTAAGAAAAAAATTTTTTTTAACTTTAGAAATTTGCTAAGTAACTGTTAAACTATTTCATACACAGTGATACTCTAGTAACAACCAGTAAGCTTGAAGTGTCCAAACTTTTTCTTCTAATGGCAGCTGCGGTAGAACATAGGCACTCTTGTGCTCAAGCATCTCAGAAAGGCTGTCATCCAGCCCAAGTATTGACAGTCATGTGATCTTGAGAGAAATCATAGGCCTAGCTCCCTAGCTCTATCACCAGGAATACATTAAGGAATAGATAAAAAATTACACATACACACAATGCCTTTTGAGGAACAAATAGGGAACCATATTAGAAGGGAACAAGTGAAAAAATAAGAACATGGCAGGTCTGTAATGGCATGGATCCATTCATTTAAATAAACATTAAATAATTATCCACACTGTGCCAGGTGTTTGTGATACAGAGATTAAGAAAATGCTTTCCCTACCCTTGAAGAGAATTCACACCTTTTGGATGATACACCTATAAAGAAAAGTGCACTGAAAAGTAAATGTAGTTTCCCCAAAGATGGACAAGATGGCCAGTATATTAGATCAAGTGACTGCAACTACAGGCAAAAGATATGATTAACCTGACAATGGCTGTTTTAGGAACAGGCCAAATTGAGATTCTTAACAGAAAAAAAAGACTAAGGTAATATTGTAAACATAACTGGACAAGATGTCCATCCAGCCTGTACATTTCAGACAAGAAAACAGAATGATAGCTTCAATCATAATATTCCTGACAGAATGGACCTTATGAGACAAAGAAAAATCATGTTTTAAACAAAAGGACATGATTCAGCATCTGCAATTACTTAGAAGCAGGTTATACTAAGGTCAGAATGTTTGTGGTGCCCCCCGACCTCCAAATTCATATGCTAAAATTCTAATGCCTAATGTGATGATATTAGAAAGTAGAGACCTTTGTGAGGTGATTAATGCCCTTAAAAAAGAGTTTTCTTGAACCTTCTATCATACGAGAATATAGCAAGAAGCCACCAGTCTATAACTGAGGCCCTTCACCAGATTTCAAGCATGCTAGCACCCTGATTTGAATTTCCAGCCTCCAGAACT